TTGCAATCGGCTGATAGCTTCCACCCCTGACAACAGCAATAAACATATTATTCTTAGAGGTCAAGTTCGACCACGTTACATTGCCTCGCAAACTGTGGCAATTTCGGTCATGCATAACACTCATGAATCATGGTTTCACTTTCAGTACAACAATCACACCTTTGTTCAAATTCAACTCAGCAACTGCATTTGCAACCAAAACTGGCCGACTGAAAAGACAATCGGCCTCAAAGCGGTTCGTTTCACAGACACGCAAGTTCAATATAAGCCTCCCCGCAACATCGCTATGTCACGGAGCATGGCATGTCTACAACTTCTATGACACGTAGTTCAGACTTCACAAACTCAGCTGGCCTCTGGCAAAACAATCTACACAAATATCTACAGTATCTACAAAACACACGACATCTCGATGCCGTTCAGAAGTTCAGAATGCCAAGCGGCATCTCTGCCATGCTCTCAGGCCGTACCAACGCCTGCACCAGCAGCGGTCTCACCAAGTCCTGCACCGCTCAGGCCGGCTGCGCAGGGCTTGAAGCTGAGCAAATCATGCACCCAAATGTCAATCTGAAATGATCAGAAATGATCAATCAATTATCCTTTCGCTGGAAGCATGAAGAATGGACTTTGACTCTTCGGCCTCAAATGTCCAAAAGCGTATGGTCGTGTCTCTGCTGCTGCTGACCTCAATGCGGGCAATCTCAAGCCAGCCTGGCCAACCTGACTGCAAGCGATCTATGCTGAATGCTTGCACTGGTACTTATGGCCTAAGCACCACACACACCGATGCTGTTCTAAAGGAAATGGGCATAGCAGAAGGATGCCGCTGGCGACAGAAAGCCTGTTACTTTGATATACTTGCAAGCTTTCCCCATAATCCCGTACAATCTCTTCATGCAAAGATCCTGTCCTGTCCAAACAAGGGCGTACTGAAAGCTTCTGTTGTCAAAATGTTTCATGGATGACAGTAGAATGTATATGACACATGTATATATATATATATACACATAAATATACATATGTATTTGTTCATGAACCTATTTGTAGAGAACAAAAAAGACAGGCCATGAAAGGAGCCCCGAGACGAAAATGTCAAACCATTGCAGCAAATCAAAGGCTGATTGTGTAGGCCCATACATGAACACTTGGCCATCTTGGACCCTTTGGGGGCTGACTTTCCATAATTCAAGCCCGGCAAATCTGGAATTCATACCAGGGTTTCATACGTGGAGGGTCAATGCAATGTAGGAATTACAAACAGTAATTCTAAGCTCTCGGCCACACACGTTGAACACCGACTATTCAACATCCTTTGCTTCAAAGAGTCTGCATCTGACGGAAGCCATGACAAAGGAAACACAACAACACTGGCCGGGTATTGATGGTGATACAAACATGATGGCTTGAGCATATTCTGTCTGCAGGCAGTGGTCGGCGTCTGACTTCTGACCAAGGAGTGTGCGACATACCTTGCAAACGCGGCCAGCCGGCACAAGCCGTGCTGTCGCTTGCCAGGCAAGTCTCACCAGTCACAAGCGTTGCAGATCCAGTATCTCTAGCAACGAGCTTGTGCTTATGGCACATGCCGTTCTCACAAAAGAGTGACACGACGGTGTTGCAACAGGTTAAAGAATTGCGGATTGAACACTGGGTGAATCAGCTACACAACTGTCGCGGGGAGTGCATACAAATGCCTACTATCGCTTGCTCTAAACTAAAACTAAACTTCCCAGCTGACGAGTGGGGAGAAGAACATGTAAGGCAATGGTGCTCCAGCTGCATCCTCCGGGCAGAGCAAGGAAACACATGCAGGTTTTTGCTGGCTATGGCCCCGAACGAGGAAAAACGGCCGCTCCGGATGGACAGCAAGACCTTAAGTCCAGGATAGATGAATTCCAAACACGCTCACCAGCGCTCAATTTCACGCACACAACAAAGCAGCAGGCTCACCAGGAGGCATGAGGCTCGCACCATACACGTCTGCATTGTGCTCATGCGAAGTGGACAAACACCTGGTGCAAACGATCAGCTGAAATTTGGCAGGCTCTTCTGACCAAATACTTGATTCGTCAGGTGGCCTAGGCCAGTGTTTCCACTGATAAACAGGATAAGATCAGGAGTTTAGGCGTCAAGGAAAGCTGTCGGCAGCTTTAATGACTGGGCTCATGAATAGCAAGGCATCTCAAAAGCAACTATGTCCGGGAAAAGAGGAGAAACAATGCACGTACACAGTCAGCTTGAGGCCAAAATTGAGGCCCACACTTGGACTCGACAGCATCCCAGACTCGGATGGTTGCATCCCAGGAGCCGCTGAACCTGAGGGGAACTCATGGATTTTGCTGAACCGTTTGCCGTCGCTGGCCACTTAGTCACTAAGCTAGGGCCCGTGGCAAAATATTTGGCAGCTCAGTGTGCCAAAGAAGACCTCGCACGTAGGAGTTGTGCCCGTGCAACCTGAGCGGACTGACTTGCACCGCTATTCTTCTCTTTGCCTAGCCAGTGGCTCAGGATATATCAAGTGATACAAGACTGCTAGTTACAAGGCCTGAGCATAAGAGATCCCTCAAGCAGTTTGATTGTCCAGAATTATGATGTAGGTATTGTATATATATATATATATATATGATTTGCAAGCGTTTCTCCAGGGTTTTAAGATCTCAGTGGGAGAGCTCTTGGGTTGTGATGCTTGTCCGGTCGCATCGACAAGCATAATGTTGGGATGATTAAACTCGAGTGCAAAGCGCTTGAGTGAAACGGCTTTCCAGCTTTTGCCGGGCAAACAACAAGTGGAATCTTCTTGGATAGATGCAAACCTGTAAACATGCGTAAACATGCGGATGAGGAAGGAACCGCCCAGGAAAGCAAAAACAGTCAACAAGACAAGCTCGAGATCTGCCCCTCATTCTGGGTGCTGACTGTGCATCCACGCTTCCGAAGCTCACGTTGGCCGCGGAAGCTGGGACTCCAGTTCCAAATGCGGATGGTCTGGCGCCACGCGACCCACAATGCTGGGAATCCTTCATAGCTCAGACGCCCATTGCACCTGCTTGCTAGAAAGTGAAGCTCTGATATAGCAAAGTCTCCAGGCAACAAGGTTCCACCACTTAGCTAAAATACAAGTGGCGCTTTACCAGAATAGCAAGTACAGACCTTATGCAAATACGGCCCGCAATAAATCAACCTTAACGGCTGAAGCTGATAATGCTTTGAAACAAGTGCTTGACGGATCATTCATGCACCTTGTAATTTGTCGGTGCCCAAGCTGTGCGCACCCGGTCATCGCTGCCAGAGCAAATGATGCTGGGCAGGATCGGGTGAAAGGCCACGTTGAAGACCTAAAGCTTGTGATAGGAAGAGCTTGAAGCAGCACGGTTTGCGGGTAGTTGGTGGAACTGGCATTTCAGAACCGCTGAGCTTTCTTAAAACCAAGCTTGCCTGACGGCAACCAGGTCTGCACACACCAGAAACTGTCTTAAAAAGAAAAAAACATAGACTTCCACACGCACACATCATTGTGTCATATTGGCTCTATGGACAAGCCGCGCTTGTTGCCACAACTTGCGGGCGTGCAAACCGCTGTTAATTTCAACACCCTGCAGTGGCCTCACATCATCAAATAATATCAAGTATGTCAGATATGCAAAGTTCAGGATTGTGTTCCACTGCATGTCAGCCAGGCAAGACTTCCAACAATCTAGACAAATTGAATCGACAAACAACTATCTGGCATGAATGCTGGAAGGGGCGTTCCTCAGGTGCAGGATGCATATTGCAAGTGTTTCGGGTTTGGGTGCAAGGCTTTCGGGTGCATCAGTGGTTGTCCAAGCCCCGGTCTCCGCTGCACTTCCTAAATATGAAACGACTGAAGACAATATGCTAAGACCAATCAACTTGTCTCTCAAGCATAAGTGCGTCTCGCACTTTGCTGCGCTTTCCCTCAGCCATCACAGCTCAAGGCACTTTGAGATTAAACGGACACCTAAAGATTCACCACGTAGTGCCATGCAACCCATTGCAAAAGCCAAGCAACTTGAAAATTCAAATGGGATCCGTCGGTTCTGCGCTCATTTTCCCTCAAGTGCACGTGCCACGTTTTAGGCGAGCGGAGCGCTGGCGCCGACTCCTGGCCACCTGTTCGCATTGCACATGTTCGCACATGGCACGTTTCCGCATCACCGCACCTCCGGCGGGACATCAAACAGCTTGCTGGGGCAGCAGTGCAGAAAGCGGTCCAAATAGTGGTGCACTAGCACCTAAGCTGCCCATTCGCAATGCTACAACATGCCACGATCCGCGCAACCACATAGGCTTGCCTCGCACTCTCGAAAAATCAATGCTGATTCAGATATGTTTGATTTGCCCTGTTGAAACGGCACCTGAAAGATCCGAAACATCCTTCCTACAACATTGATACAGCTGGGCAAATGCAGCAGGTCCCTGAAAACAAACCCTTGACCAAAGGGTGTGCCCATCATAATCTGGAAGCGGAACAGGTTCTTGTTGTCTGGCGGCACAAGAGTCCGGATCGACTTCGCGGCTTCCTGTCTACATGTCCTTGCTCTGCTGCGCACGGTAAACATTTCAGTCTGGTTGCTTCTCTTGCAGCTTCAAATGCGCAAATTGACAGCTCAGCTCAGATTGCCAATGCTGGCAGTTGCGGGGACGGCCAGGCCAAACACGCACGTGCTTGATGTCCACAGAATATCCGAGACATCCTCAAGTCTCGTGAAAGCGTCTGGATTGAAGGCTAAACAAAGCTTAGATTATCGTGGATAATCCTTTTATGGAGTGCGCCAGGTGGCAATACAATGGCTGCTCAGGAGCACCTCCGTGCCAAGGGAGATCGACATCACCTGCAGGGGTTGTATTCAGCAAGCCTGGCAGTTTGTCTACTGTCCAGCTGCCATCAGCTAAACCCCCAGTGTGTACTCTGAGACAAAGGGCAGTACTCACCAAAGTTATTCAACACCTGTGCTGTGCAACGCACGCAGCATTGATTTGGCTCTGCAATCAGCAACTCGTCATCAGATCTTCTTGTTGATCTGGATCCGGCCCGTTGCTTATGACTGACCTGAAAAGGCAACTGCTGAGACGCCTATGGCGTCAATTCGCAGGGGCAGGTTGTCAAGAATATACTTTGCACATCAAAGTATCTTTCGGGAGTAACGGTAGAGAGGTGTTGGTTGAAAAGGGTCTTGTTCATGCCATCAAAGACGGCAAAGACCTTGAAACGCATCTGAAGATAGAAGAAGCGGCGGCCATCACCAGGATGGCAATGCACAGGATACAATCCTGAACATCGTATCTTCTCAAAATATGCATCAGCAACAGCAGCAGCAGCAATGGCATGTTTCTCAAGCGGCATCTAGGAGTCAACGGAAAAGGCAACGGCTGAGATGCCTATTTCATCAATAGGCACGGACATGTTGTTGAGTATGTACAACAGCACCCCAGAGTATTGTTCGGCAGTGACAGCGGAGAGCTTTTCGTTGATGAGGGTCTTGTTCATGCCACCGAGCGCAAAGACCTTGAATCTCATCAGAAGGTTGTAGAGGCGGCGGCCATCGCCAGGATGGAAATGGGGGAATATGGGGAAGCGCACAAAAGCCGGAGGCGTTCCTGCAAGCCATGCCAATGCACTCTGCGAAGCCATGACAAACTGCGGCTGATACTTCACAGACAGGAATGTGTTCCCGATGTGGATGGTCATCTCGCCATACACCGGCACGTAACCATCCGATTCGCAGTAGTAGCGACTCTCGTACTGCAAACAAAATTGCACCTCGTCACAGGTCTTGCCCTGGGGTCTGGGGCATCCAGGCTGATCCTTGCAAACGCAGGTCTGAGGGCAGAAGAAAGACACTGTCTTCAACTCCCAATCAAAGGCAGTGTTCCATTCAAAACAGTTGCCCCAGGTGATGTTCTGCGCTTCCACGACTGGTGCGAAGCCGCATCCATAGTTCCACATCGCATCTGCAAGAACCAAAGCTTCCTTTTGCCCCTTCATGTCTCCTCCGGCCTGAGCAAAGTTCACAATGCTTTGCAGCCATTTCTGCCACGGCACATAGCTACGAAGCTGCTGCACGGATCTCTCAGCACATAGCCCCTGGCGGGCGTTGAGCGCATACTTTGGGCTCTGCGAGCAGGCTCGACCAGGCCCATATGGACAGCCCTGGACAAGCGCAAACTCTCCACCAGGATCGGTGCAACCACAGGTGTCTGAGCAAAGCATGCGAGTGACAAAGCCAGCACCCCCATCCAACCCCCAATCAGGCATCTTGGAGATGGAGTTGCAGAACTGGACCACATCAGCACAGCCCATGATGCTCTGGTTGTTCAAGGTGTCCCGCAGGTAATTCAACATAGGCTCCTCATTACCCAAGTCTCCGCAATCAGAATTGTGCTCATCCACAAGCTCGTCCAAGGTCAATGAGGTACTTGCGCTCAGAAAGCCTACGCCCTGAACCCATAAGCCGTACTTGGTAGCATTTGTTATGCCAACTTGTCCTTGCGCTTCACTGATGGCTTTGGTTTGCATACTGTTGTCATATTCTTCCCATCCTCCACCAACAGTTGGCGCTAGGACTGTGACTCCGCGCTTGTCAAGGCTCCACACAAACTCCAAGTTGCCACCACATAGGGTGTCCTTAACCAAGTTCAAATTGGCAACCATTGGAGAGAGCATGCTGAAGTAGACCACAAGCACTAGAGTGGGAATGATGAAGCTCATAGATAAGGACTTCACATCGGCGCCCCGGAAGCGCGGAAAAGATCGCATTGGCAAAGGGTCCAGGTGATGTAGCAAGTGCCTTCCTGGTGTGGTGGCCAAAGCATCAAACAAGAGGTCGTCAATGTCCAGGATGATGCCCAGGGCGACAGCGTTCAGAATGAGTTCCGTGACATTCACTGTGTACACCAGAAAGAAGGTACCCACGTAGATGAGAAGTAACGCTGCAATGAAGCGGTATAACAAGAGCGCCGCACTGAAAATGACTCGTGCTCTGGGAAGTGCCACCAGCCTGTAGTACACAACCTGTGTGAAAGGGTTCTCTCTGGGCTCCATGCGAAATTGTCCTCGCTTCACAGAGGCAACGCTCCTGTGCAAAGCAAGTGCATGACTCAGTTCCTTGGCCACCATGAGATACCAGCAAATCAATGACACAAGGCATAAGGCCTGCCCGGTGAAGCACAGCTCAATTCCTTGTGCCTCAGGCTTCAGGTACTTCCTGATGTTTTGGTAGAGGGACACTTGGATGCCAGAGACGTGAAGCGACTGATCCCCGTCACACACTCTCTGTGCCAAAGATTCCCCGGAGATCTCGTCCTTAACTTAACTGGTGTCCGCGTGCTCACACTTTTAGATATTTCTAGACTTCTGGAGCAAACGCCGTATCTTCCAAAAACAACCTCTCTCGTGCAATACATATATATATATATATATATATATATATTATCATACACACACACACACCCGTACATTCGCCTACATTTATACCAAGCAGCATATTGGCTCAGTGCATGTGCCGAAGATCTGCGCCAGCGAAAGGCATCAATGATGGTCTTGTCTGTCACTTCTGGAGCAAGGAAGTTATACCTCGGTTGCACGACATCTCATGCAGTATAGCTCGCTTGGAAAGTACCGAATGCAAGGACATGCATAAAGGCAGCTGCAAAAGCAATGGCAAACAGCCCAGTTGCATGGCGATTCCCACAAAAATGCCTTGCATGCACACATTCACCACCGCAAGAAGGAACGTTTGAAGGGATCCAGCGGGGCCAAGAGCACCAGTACCAATGAAGATGACCAAATCCCATGTTGACTCCCCAAAGGAGTAGTACTCCTTACTGTGTGCATTCAAGGTCTTCTCGCTGACTTTGGACCCGTGCTTGGTGAGAGTCTTGTAGCTCTTCGGGGTGCTGATGTGGTCCTTCAGCTCCAGGCTTTTGCGTCGCGAGGTCTTGATGCTCACATTTCCTTTCTCGCTGGCCGACTTTGCCTCACTCACATTGCTGGACCTGGGGCATTCGCTGGACTTCACGTGCGTAATTGGGAGCTGCAAGGCTTTGTCTCGATTTGCTCCAAATTCATCTGCATCCACGTAATAGACCCTCCCTGAGCTTTTTGTCTTGATCATCGTCTCCCCGATTGAATTGAAGTGCTCGACCTGAGCTATATGTAGAGCCCGCACCGGATTTGCGGGTAGGCTACAGTACGGCGTAGAGACTGAACGTGTGAAACCATGAAAGCGTCAGCTTGCAAACAACTGAAACGCACAAGAAGACAGGATCCCTGCCAGAATTAATCAACCGGCAAAAGCCAGGACTGGCCTTTAATCCAATGTGACCCGCAACAAAACAGACCCCGTACAAACAATGCAGTCAAAACCATACAACAAAGCCCCCCACCACTGTGACAAGTTCCTCAGCATGGACATTTGACTGCCATGAGCGATTCTCACAACTGACTGGGTTTATTTCAGCCTGACCAATCCTGCACCAAAAGCTGAGAAGAAGATTAGCGGCTGTGTTGCTATGACCGCTGCTTTGTTCCTATGAACGGCACGGAAAAAATAGACCATCACAAGCACATGTTGACGTTTATTCATTCTATTGGGCATTGAAGCAAAGGCGTTTGTTTCTTGCACGTCCAGCCACGTTCTGGCCCTCTCCATCCACATCCACCTTGACGCCTGCGAACTCCGACAAGGATGGTGCTCGCATACTCTTGGGGCTGTTTGGGTGCTCCAAGGCTGTGAGGCGCTCCTTAGGCGGGACTCGGGAGATGAGACTCAGCTGTCAGGGACTGAAGCTGGCATGCACAACACCAATACCTTCAATAATTTGACCAGGGAAGTTGGACATGCGTCCATCTGCAATCTCAAAGTGGGTCTACTACAGAAAACCCCGCCTCTCCCACAACAACATACAATACTGACAACAGGAATCGGCATCCCGTGCAAGCCTCTCACATCTAGCAACCGGCAGGGGCGCTAAAATGTGCTAATGCATCTTGGGCGCATCCAACTGACAGTCCAAAAGGTGTTGAAGGGCGGCTTCCAAACGCTCAAAGCGCTCCTCAATATCTCCGAGGATGGCGACACTATAACCATTCTTGTCACCGTCCATAGTTCAAAAAACGTGATTCGCGTTTTGCAAATCAGGCGATGGCATGCATTTATCTTGGGCCCTCTTCTTGCAGCAGGGTGCTGCGCGTAAACAATCCGTATGCTCAAAGACCGGATCACACAAACACGCACACAGGCAGACGGGCACACACACACACAATCCCATTGACGGAGGGATCTGCACGGCATCTTCCAGGCTTCACATCACGCAAACATGCGCATCACGAAGGCACGATACCCTGTGGTACGCAATGTAAACTGAAAACAGATTGCTCCTTGGGTGTCGGACTCAGCGCGCCACAATCGTTGCGCTTGTGCTAGGGAAAGTGCCAAAAGGCTGAGGAAGTCTGGGGTGGCAAGCACCGCACATTCTACACGATGTGATTTGAGCGGTGCCGAAAATGGGATACACGGTCTGATAACAAACAACACTTACAATTTCGTGGAACCTTTCGCGATGCTCTCGCGGCCCCACGATTCACTTTCGCGGGCATGTTTGTTTGAGGATCGCTTTCGCTGCGAGTTTGCAGCAATCTGAAAAGGATCAGCGACGGTGGAAAACGGGATATCTATTTTCGGGGTTGACTACTTGGGAAAGCTCAACTATCCCATGGATGGCCGGCCCTTTTTCGCGACCCGTTTCGAATCGGTATCGGTATCGAATCGAATCGGTTCAGTTCAAGTGAAAATGCACAGATGCATTTCTTCTGGTCGAGTGCGGGCCTGTTTGTGAAGCCGTGTCGCTACTACTAGTACGACTACTACTAGTACTAGTACTACTACTAGTACTAGTACTACTACTACTACGTCCAGACTCATTTTTCGCGGCCCAGAGCTTGTCTAGATTCGTGTTTAGAGGCCCAGAAAACGCATCT